CGCCACAGAATTCCACAAAGGTTCAGAAGCTGGAGACACCCAGAACTTCTGATGGCTAGGGGAAGGGTATCAATAAAAATAGGAGTAACTTGATAGAAAATTTTCCTCTCCCAGTTCACTGTGCCAGTCAACTGGCCTTCTGGCACTCTCCAGAAGAATAAATGTTTACTTTCTAGAGGAACTGAACCAGAAAGGCTTGGGGACACCCAGTATAGCTGATATGGGATAAAGCAGTCAATCAAAAATGGTAGGAGGGCTTAGATTATACATGCTAAATGTTGATACCCAATAACCCACCACTCCCACTCAGCTTCCAGAACTTGATAATGAAGTTTACACTCACCAGTAAGAGAAAACTAACTAGTCCAAAACAAAAGATTCTGATACTGACATTGGAGAGCACCCAGGCCTCTGATCCAACATCTACAATAAAGCCTACCAGGTAACAAGCCCCATTCATGAACACAGAGCTTTCAATGAGCTTTTTAGTGCCTCACTCTTAAATATGACTGGGCAGCCATTTGAAAAAAACCTTTACAATCAAAGACACAGAACAAAACAAACAGAAGAGAGAACACTGAGGAAGAAAACAATGCAAGAACAATTTTTAAAAATCTATAAATAATAGTCTCAAAGAGATGAGAAAAAATATTGCATCCAAGAAACAGGATGCCAGGGAAAACAACTATTTACTGATGAGCAACATCAAAAAGGTCTTGGATATTAACATGATGGCAGAAGTTAAGAAATTCAAAAGGGTGGGCAGATTTGTTGAAGAAAGTAGAAGGAAGACTAAAAGAGAGAGATGGAAAATACAAAAGATTAGAAAATCAGAGATCAACACGGGAAGTTTACTTACCATCCTATCATAGAGGCCGAGAGAAAGGAAAGAGAGAAAAATAAAGAATACTTTTTCAAAGAAATAATGGGAGAACATTTTCCAGCTCTAAAGAACATGAGTTTCTAGACTGAATGGGCCCTCCAAAGGCCCAGCACAGTAAATGGAAAGGACCCACAGCAAGGCAAATTGTTCTGTAATTTTAGGGTACTAGAGACAAACAAAGGATCCTAAAAAGAAAATCAAGGATCACAATGGGTTAAGAGTTCAAACTTTCAACAGGAAAGCTAGAAGTCAATGGAGTTATTTCTTCAAAATTTTGAAGGTAACTTCCAACCCTATCAAGAATAGAATAAAGTTTTTCTGCATTTTTAGTCATGCAAGGTCTAAAAATGTTGCCTCCAACACAGTACTTTCTCAGGAAACTACCATTTCACCAAATTAAGGAAGTTAAAAAAAAGAAGATGAAATCCAGGAACTCTTTGGTGACAAAAACTTGTACAAGAAAGGAAATATAACCATAATCTATTACCTGATTCCGCACACTCACTGATATGTAAACAGTAGCTATAGATTTAATTAAAGTATTTTTCTGAAGAAAAAGGAATGTGGGGGAGGGGAAATATTAAAGACATTTTATATATGTGTGTTTCTGGAGGAGACAGAGTTGTAAAAGACCTAAACTCATCTTACATAGGAAAATCAGTAAATGAAATCTGAAACAGAAATACTAAGATACGGCAATAGGAGCAAGATAATTAAAATGGTGAGAAACACGGCAACTGTTAAAAACTTGAAGCAGCTGCCTGCAGGGAGTGGAAATTAAGGAGAACCTGGAAATCCTATCAACAATTATGTGGTGCTACGTGGTCTTTTAAAACATTAATGTGTATGAGTTACATAAGAGTAAAAATAGCTTTAAATAAAAATATCACTAAAAAAAATGAACCGTTTTACAATACACTGAACAAAAAAGTGAGTTGCTAAACAATATGAATAGTATCACGTTTATGTTTAAAAACTGTCTACAAGACACACAGGTAGTAACATATAATATTCTAAATTCATAAAGAAAGGTCTTGAAGGACACTCGTCAAACCCTGGAGGGAGAATGGGACTAAGGGTAAGGGAGGGATGGTGGTAATGAAACCTTTTCACTTTATTCTATATGTACTTCTGATTTTTTTTAACAACAAAGATATTTGTAAAGAATTTTTAATGACACAGGTAAATGTTTATAATACAGTATTATAAGAAAAGGCTAGTATAAAGGTAGATATTTAGCATGATCCCCATGGTGGTCTTTAAAATGTAGTTTCTAAATTTCTTTTTTTAATCAAAAGGACCATTTTATCTCAAACAAAATATTAGTTGATTCCCAATTTCAGCAGGGAGGGATATAGACGGCCATTAGAGCTTTATTGATATTTTCAAGTTATGATTCTATATTCCTATTTCTTAGGTTGACTTTGATCATTTAAATTCTAGAAAAATTTTACCATTAGCTTTCAAATTTATAGGATAAGATTACTTCACTATTCTTTTCAAAAACTTTGTTTTCAAAAACAACTTTTAAATTTTACTTTAACAATATTTTTAATACTGTTCTAAATTTTACTTTAACAATTTTTCAGTATATGAAAAATAACAGTATTTTCTAATATACTGTAATATTTTTCTAATATTTTTTCTAAATACTTTTCTAGTTTTTGGCTTTTTTATTACTATTCTTTTCCTAGCTTCTTGAAAGTTCAACACTTCCTAAATCCCTTATTTATAATAAAAGCAGTCAAAGCTATGAATTTTCCCCTGAATGAGGTTTTGGCCCCATCCCTTAGATTTTTATTGTTTAATGGTTCTTATTGTGATTAATATCTAAATCATATCTAGTTTAAATGTTTTATCCTCTTTGAACAAGCCATTACTTCAAGTAGATGGATATTTAAAAAATATCATTAATTTCCAGCTTTATTTCATTGCAATCTAAGTGGCCTATTAAAAGTTTTTGAGTTTTTCTATTTGAATTATTCAGTGTGATCAACATATTATTTTTATAAATGTTCTATGACATTTGAAAGTAACCTTTCAGTAGCCTTTTACTATTTATCCATGGCATGTTCCTGCTTGTGTTCTCCCCAAAGGATTTTTCCAGTTCTTCTTGGGTTCCTCTATAATCTACACCTTAATGACCACTAAAGTATAATCATTTCCTTTTTGTAGAAATTCCTCAAATTCCCTGGTTCATGGTGGCTCCCTCTGCCATTATGCAGACACTTTTCTCCCTAATTTTATAATTCTTTTATCATTTGAATGGAGTTTTTTGAGAGGTGGGCTCAAAGTGTAGCATAGTATATGACAGATCAGTTTCTAGAACAATAAAGGTCAATGTTTGATTTTAATTCTACCACTTTTTGCTGTAGTACTTTTGGAACAGGTTAATACTTAAATTCTCAGGGACTCTGTTGCCTTACATAGTAATAATTATGGTAGTAACCACCTAAACTTAAGATAAATGAGAAAATGCAGGTAAAACACTGAACACATCACTTGACAAACAACAGCACTCAATAAACATTAGCCAATGACATTGTTATAGGAACTGTGATCAGAATTTTTTATTACTGAATGTCAACAAAAAGGAAGCAATGTTTTCCATTAGGGCCTAATCATATAGATAATAAACCCTATGGACATACCTGACAACCCCAATGTATCAGATAACATAACTGTTATCTAATGACAACACTATATAGCCTAAGTTTATTAATTAAACTTGATTACTTGACTACTCTATAGATAACACTTGGAAGAATTTCCTTTCTGAAAATTTGTAGTACTTATAGGGAAATATTAATTCCAGTACTTTAAGGTATACTTATTCCAGTACTGCAATAAAGTAATCAAGTACACACCCAAAAGAAGTGAAAGCAGGGACCTGAACAGATATTCATACACCAATGCTTACAGCAGCATTATTCACAATAGCCAAAAGGTAGAAACAACCTGTGTTCATTAGTGGATAGGCAAAACGTTGTATGTTATATAAACACAATAGACTTAGTCAGCCTTAAAAAAGGAAGGAAATTCTGACAAATGCTACAATGTGAATGAACCACAAAGACATTATGCTAAGTGAAATAAGCCAGACACAAGAGAAATATTGGATGATTCTACTTATATGAGGAGCTAGAGTAGTCAAATTCATACGGAAAGAATAGTGGTTTTCAGGAGACGGGAGAAGGGGAGAAATGGCAAGTTGTTGTTTAATGGGTTACTGGGCAGACTGTTTCAGATGAGAATGATGAAAAAGATCTGGAGATGGATGTCTGGTGATGGTTGCACAATGATGTGAACGTATTTACATCACTGAAATGTACATTTAAAGATGATTGAAATGGTAAATTTTATGTTATGCATATTTTGCCACAATTTTAAAAAAGTAATCAAGTGCCTAAAGTGGTGATGATTATATATTTAATCCTACATATTATTACTGATAATCTGAGCAAACCATTTTGAAAATGTTATCTTAAGGCTGGGCTAGATACACCATTCAGCTTGTTCAGAGGGCAAACATTAATCTCTGCTCCCTCAAGAATTAAATTCACTGCTCCCAAGTCTTTAAGAGGTGGGGATCCTCACACATATACCCACAAATACTTTATTTTACTCTCTTGAAAATGTACATAGAAATGGAATAGAAATACAATTCTACTTGAGTAAATCTACCCCAATAAAGAGTCTTTATATGAACATTCTTTATATAGAAACATTTTATTTACAACAGCAAACACCATCTAAACGCACAACAGTGAGGGAATAGCTAAGTAAACTACACAACAAATAGAATATTAGGGAGCCAATAAAAACAATGCTTATAAATGAAATGTATAAGTCTTTATGTAATAGGTGATATTAACTATGTATAAAATACATTCTAAAATGACTAGAATGAGATATCACTGTTAACAGGTGATTACCTTTGAGAAGTATGACTAATGACTCTTTTTGTCTTTGTATTTTTATACTTCTCAACTATTCTCTATTTTTGTTTTCATAATGCATTATTTTTATAATGGGAAAATACATCCTTTCATTTTATTTTAAAAATAGTAAAAAACAAAGAAAAATAAAATTTTAATTTTTTCCCTCAAGTACTCACATTCTCAGGTATGCTGGGAAGTTCTCTGGTATCAGGCACAGTAAAGTAAGAATGCTGGAAAAGAAAGGCAAAATCTATGTATCTTATTAAAATAGGCAACAAGCACATTATTCAGAAATCAGGTAAATGATCTGAAGATAATTCCTTACTCAGATGAGGAAACAGAGTTTCACTCATTGGAAATGTCTATGGAATATTTTCTTTGGATAATGTTGGATTAAAGCCAGATGCATTAAATCATCAGTTTAGTAGATTGAGTTCTTTACTGTGAGAGATGAACTTCTTGGGGAGATATAAATGAACAACTCAAAAAGGTTAAAGGCTAAATTCCCATATGACGTTTTCAGGGTTCTGAACATATGAGAGCTGCAGGCTTCATAATTTATTGTTCAATGAGGCAAGGGAACTCTAGGGACCATATATCACTAGGTTCACTCAGCAGTGGTCTTTACCAACTAAACCTGCCATTTCATTTCAGCATCTGAGATCATATCCATCTACAAGCTGCAGGCAAGATCTGCCTCAAAGGCCCAAGTGATGTTAAGGACAGTTCCAGCTGAAGGACTGCTGCCCTGAGACCATTACAGATGGTTAACAGTGGAGAAATTCATTCTGCTATGCATGCTCTGCAAATAAACCCCCTGACTTCAGTGAAGAGAGCTGGAGACTCAGTGGAGTTGAAAACCTGACCAGTTCAAACTGCTATCAAGGACGTATGTAATAAGTATGTGTCCTTGAGTTAAATGACAACAGGCTGAACACATGATACCTCCTCTGTGTTACTAAATACTCAGAGGACAATGGCAAGCAGGAATGGAAGAGCCTGGTTCTGGCCAATTAAAGATGGGATTGTGCAAAGGCCAGGAGAGGTCACATGCAAAGAAGGTCAGCTTAGCCATGGCCTAAGATCAAACCTGGACCCCCAAGTGACATCTGAGGAGGCCCCCTAATGCCTACTTCTTGGAAAAGTGCAAAATAAATAGGTCTCTTGAAGAAATGAGTTGTATAGGCACTTTGGAATGAAAGACCTGGGGGACAATTGCAGTAATGACAATATCAACAATAATGGTATGAGCTATTTGTCTAATATTCAATAGATATTACTAAATACCTGCTACATGGAAGACTTTATGCCAGGTGCTTTATAAATATTATCTCTAATTTCCATAACAAATTTCAAGATAGATCTCATCTCCATATTACAAATGAGTAAATTAAGGCTCAGAGAGGTTAGGTCACACAGCTAGTAGGTGACAGAACTAGGATTGAAACCAGGTCTGAATAACTAGAGCTATGCTCTTTCCATTACAACAGACTGTTGTACCTGTGTTTTTTATGTGCAAATTGGAGCTAAAGCCATTTGAATCAAAATAATAAACTAAGAGTAAATAATAAAAATATATAAAAGGTAACTTTAAAAGAACTCTGCAATACATCATTACAAAATATCACATGTGAAGTAGACATAATGAGATTATGTAACATGGAAACTGGTTAACAATTCAATTGTGCAATGAGGATTAGAATAGTAAAAGTAAAATACAAGATTGAATTTGATGCCCTGAGATACCAACTTCTATACCAAATGGCTAGACAGGAGTCCCAGGAAATGTTCAGTAATGGACGTCCACATGGTTATGGAGTCACAAAGCAATGGTTGGCACAGTGAGGGAGAAAGAACAGGGACCCTAGTCAACCACTTAATACATAATCTTAGGCAACTTTACTTAATAGCTCAGAACCTCAGTTTTTGAACCTGTACATGGGAATCATAATATCTACTTCAGAACTCTGTTATACGTGTGAAGTGCCTAGCACGCCATAAAATAAGACTTAATAGAAATTATCTTGCTGTTTTGACTGCTGGTTTACATTTCTATTTTTCTCAGTCACCTGCATCAGAAATATTCTCGTGACAAGACACAAAGTCCAGTCTTTCAGTCTTTATAATCTACTGAGACTAGCCCCTCAAAGTCAGAAATGCAGCATGGAGAGAGGTATTCTTCATGAACAGGAAAGAAAAAAATATCTGCCTTTACAGATGCGATGGATTGTAAATAGTGAGCCTACACAATTCCAAAACCAAGCAATCCCCAGTCTGTCCTTTGAGATTCTGTCTTGCTCCATCACCCATGAAATGTGAGGACCAGAGGAGGTCAGAAACATTCCTCGAAACCACTGGCATGAAACAGCTGCACAGCAGCACCTGCCCCCACAACAGGTCGTCCTGTCCCTGTGACAGGTTGTCCTGGAGGCCTGGGCAACCTCTCAGGGGAAGGAGTGGCCCTTCCTCTCCAGCAGCTGGTGACCCTGCCAGGCTACCCCACAGCTACCTGTCGGATGTCATTACAGACTGAAGCAGAAAGATCAAGCTGCTTAAGAAAAGGACAGAGACAAAGGAAGGTTGCTTAACTATATGGCAATGACTAAGGCAGATTTAAAACTCATTTCTTCATCTTTTCCAGCCTCCCTTACAAGAATGTCTGTGACAAGGTTCCTCACCTTCCTGTGCTCTATTAAAATGAGCAAACACCTCCACCAATCCCTTCTTACCTTCATTCTTTGCTCCCTTTCTTTCAACACTCATGGCCTACTGGAAAGAACAGAGGCTTGGCAGTTGGCCCTGGGTTTTTAAACCCCAATCGTCTCATTTACTAACCATATAATCTTGGATGGACAAGAACCTTTTCCTAAGTTTCATCTGTGAAATGTACATGCTACTATCTATTTTGTAGAGTTGTTTTGAACATTAGAGATGCATACCTGGCATAAATTAGGAACTCAGTAAATTAGTTACTGGTAGAGATATTGCTTTCAATTTGACGCTCACACACACAAAAAATCTATCACAAAAAATCCTCACAAAAAAAATCATTTTTTTCGAGTGCAAATACCAAGATAACAACCTCTAAATATCAACTTTGTGCCTTCAGACCCGACAACATAGGAGAAATAGCACCTGAGAAATCAACAGCTGGCCAAAGGGTGTCCATCTGAGAATTCTAATGAAGGTGATGACAAAGGCTGACATAGGAATTAGGGAATTCCAGTAACTGAAATATGGAAAAGATCCCCTACACCTCTTCTGATGCCTTATCTGACAGATGAGGAAATTGAGGGCCACGAAGGTAAAGGTTTTGATTAAGATCACTCAGATTATTTGCAAAACTATGACTAGGATTGAAATCTCCCAATTTACAGTTGAGAGGATTTTCCACCCAAGCATACTTTGGAACTCACAGCATGTATATAAAAGAGTTCAAAGAAGCAATTATTACTATAGGCCAAGAACTCTGCTAGGTACCCTCCAGCCGTTCTCTAGGGGCATACAGTCCTATGGCAGAGAGGAAAAGAGATGGTTCCAATGTGCTGTGATGACATGTACAGATGCCTGGGGTAAAGAAGAGCACCTTAGGTAGTAAGCCTTGTGGGGGCTATTGAAGGGAGGTTTTCTCAAGGGAATAAAATCTGAGTTGAGTTCTGAGGGATGAATACAGGCTACACTGGTAAATAGGGGAGGAGTGGTGTTGAAGGCTCAGGGGGTGGCAAGATGGGCTCCTCCAAGCAGTGCTGGGGTGCAAAGCGTAGGGCAGGGAACCCCAGGAGGGTGGCTAAGGAGGCAGGCAGGGGCCAGCCATCCCCCTCAAGATCAGCGGCTGCCATCCAGGAGACGCAAGTAATGGGCTGACAGCCAGGAGGAGAGCAGCCTGGGGCATTTGGGACCCATTCTTCATGGAACCTCAGAGGAAGGAACAAATTCAACTCCTTGCCCTGGCTTTAGTCCATGTAGGGGGTAGGGGTGGAAAGGTGCAGATGACAAAAGATGATCCGATTCCACTAACTCCTCACTGTTAACAAGGACATGGGTTCATGGTGACTGCTGATACTCTGCCCCCACTTACCACGCTGAGATGAACAGACACTCCTGGGTCAGGGATGGGAAGCTTGTGCAGAGTTTCAAGAAGCTCATTCCACTGACTCTCCTGAAAGAAATAAAAGGCCTAAGTAACAAAAGCAAGGCTGAGCCCTTAGTCAGAGATCTGCAGGGAGGTCTGGGCACACAGTGAGCTGGGGGCCCTCATGACTGAGCGAGTTGGAGAGGTGCTGGCCCCAGTACAGAAACAGATTTGATATTCAAGTAGAACTGCACAAAAGACACTGCTTATGACTCAATATAAGAGCCAAATTGATCCTCCCACACCAAGTTTGACATTTTCTACTCAGTGAGACACCTACCATGACGGCCTTTTATGGATCCTATACCATAAGCTCTTAGCAAATCTATCCTCTCAACTCCATAGCAACAACTTTTAAATGCAAACAATCCTAGTTTACAGGGTGGGGGTGGCTGGAAGAAATAACAATGACACTATAGATCTTGTCTTCATCATCATTACCCTCAATTAATTTTATTGAGTGTTCACTGGATACACACAGCAGCTTCCAATTATGGAAAGTTAAAAATGAACTACATACAACAGCATGTAATATAGGCTGGTGACTGTGCATTTTAATGAGTAAAATTGAGCCACAGAATGAAATACAAAGCAGTACAGATTATTCAAGTGAAAACAGATTCACCTTTAAAATGCTCAAAAGAACACTGCTTACAGAATTATCTGAAAGTTATTTCTCCTACCCTGCAGAATTCTCTGTGCTAATAGTAAAAAGATTATATTTGTATCCATTTTGTTATCTGATCCTCACAACTATCCCACTTTACAGATTGAAAACTGAGGCTCCCATGGGTGAAGCAAGTTGGCTCAAATCAGCCAGGTGGTAAATTGCACTGCTGGGAGCTAAAGGCAGGTTTTCTGTGCTCAAGCCCAGAGCCCTCTGTGCTGTCCCACAGCTGTCTTTGGTAGTGAATTCAAAAAGAAAAAGAGGATGTGCCCAAATTAAAAGGCTGTTTCAATCTAAACTCTGATAAATTGTTTTGAGTCTCTCACAGAGGAGAGAAATGAATGTGTGCACACTCACACAACTTTAATTTTGCTCTCAAACCATCTCAAATGTACAGAATAACTATAGGACAATACAAAAGTCTTTTTTACTGTACTAATTGAGAGTGAGATGCCAATATTATGCCCCATCATCCATACATACAAAGGACATTCTCCTTCATATTTAATCATCAAAATTAGGATATCAACAGTGAGACAACATTATCGTCTAATCCTCGGATCCCATCAAGTTTGGTCAACTGTGACAAAATGTTCTTGATAGCAAAATAATTCAGTTCAGAATCACATGCTGCCTTGAGTTGTCACGACTCCCTACTTCTCATCAGTCTGGAACAGTTCCTGCACCTTTCCTAGATTTGTATGAACTTAACAGTGAGATCAGCCATTTTGTAGAGTAACACTCAATTGTCTGATGTTTTCTATTGATTCAGATTTCAATTCGCCCCAATACTGATGATGTTCACTTTGATCACTTGATTAATTCATCTGATGTCTCTACTGTGAAGTTACTCATTTTTCCTTTGTGTTTCATAGTATTTTGTGGAGCAATACTTCATATAAATATCCCACTCCTTATCAAACTTTTGTCTTTTTACTTATTTTTATTAGTATCAACACATGGTTTCCTGTTTTATTCAATGGGTTATAATCCCTTGCTATCACTATTTGATTTGATACTCAAATTGTCCCTGATATGACCAGTGGGAACCCATGGTTCCTTCAAGCTCACTTTTGTGTCTTTCTGACATGTCTTTATCATGTTTTGAGCACTTCCTTATTTTTGGCACAATAAGATAGTCCAGGCTTATATACTTTCCCTGCTCTAGCCCTGGCATTAGACATTTCTTCAGGGAGCTCTTGTTCCTTTTAGTGGAAAATGTTATTTAGAACCCAAGATTTGAGTGCTGAGTGTGTGTCCTGCTACTTGGGTACTGTTGACCCTTTCAGTGGACAGAGGTAGGAAATATATTACACACCTGTAGACCCACGATACATGAATCTCTATTTTTATATCTATCACATATATTGAAAGCCGTGGGTTCATACCAATGGCTCTAATTCTAGTCCAACATAGGAATCATTCTAGTTTCCTATGTATTTATAACTATATTCTAAAAAAGTGAAAAATCTTGGCCTATTTTAACAGATGTACTTATTTGTATGTAACCAATCTTTCATCACTACTCCTTACCTCCCCATCCAGGTTGATGCCCTCCTTGCCCTGCCTGAATAGACATCCACCGTTAGGTCACCACTTTTCCTCCCTCCCACCCCAACAAAAATGCCCTCCCTACCCAATGGTGGGCCGCTGCTGCCCCCATGCCCACATTCTGATTTCCAGAGTTGAACTGTTGCCACCATGACCCACATCAAAAACACCTTCCCCTTCAGCACCAATACTCTCAGGCTCCGATGCCCTCCTCAGCCCCTGCCGTCTCTTCCACGAGGATGCCCTCACTGCCCCATCAGGGTCTGACACCCATTCTGGGTCGGTGATCCACACAGACACCTTCATCATGTACCTTAGGCCCCAGACTCCATGCTAAGCTAGCAGAGGTCCCTCCCACCCCACCCCCATTTGAAGCCAACGGTGCCCAAACTTGCCAATGACTTCTGGACTTGGGGAGGGAATTCTGTTTTTTAATAAAAGCTCTCTCTTCCTGTTCCAATCTGACTCACACCTTGCAAACAGGTAAGCCAGCTGTACACAGAGTCACTATCATCATCCATGTCAGAATTCTTTTAACCAGAAGAAATATATTAAAGAGTCCTGAGTACAGGGAAATAGATGGCACTACGACACAGCCCTGATCTCAATCTCTAGCACTGCAAGAGGCGGAGTCCTTCCTGAGGCAATAGCCTGGAGGATTGGTGCACCAATTTACAGGATAATAATCCTGTCTCCCCTATGTGTAGATTGTACCTATCCAACCTTTCCTGTAAAACAAGACCTATTTTTTTAAAGTTTACTAAGTTGTTTTTTTTTTTAACTGACTGGAGCATAAATATGTGAGTCAATCTCCAATTCTAATACTGTTAAGAGCCTACATGTTAAACAATTCTATTTACTAAAGACATCTTCCAAACTTGAGTAAAAACCTGAACGTCTGACTGAAGTAAATTGTGAATTAGATATTGATGAACAAACAGACCCAAGGTGGCTGCCTAACTTACTCATCGAAGAGTAAATCACTTCTATTATGACAGAGTTCCCTGACACCTAAGCATCCTGACACCTGAGCATAGTAATGTAGGGAGTTATTCTTATTAGTTAGTCCTTTCATTTACTATGGCGTCTGGAATACACTTGAGTAAACTTGAAGATTCATCTGTTACACATCTTCCACCTTTTCCCCAAAACAGCATTTCTCTAAGTGTGTGAAACACTGGCATCTCAGAATATTAATTCAATTTGTCATGGAATAAAAAGGGTTTGGAGCCAACTGAGATAGGAAGCACTGAGTAACACAGGTTTCTCTACTGCAGGACTTCTCAGAGCCTACATACATTACATTAATCTTAAGGAGAAAAAAAATGAAACAGCTACCTCTCTCCCTGACCCCAATATTACTGAACTCTGGTACCTGTTTTATGGAGTATTTGTCAGAACTAATGTTCAATAGAAAATATGAGGGCAAAAATTTCTCTAACATTTAATAATAATGTACCACTTTAATTAAAAATCTTAGGCCATTTACAAAAAAAGAAAATATAAGTAATCTAACTTCTTATATCTATATGGACAAATATTCAACTCACTAATAATCAAAGAATGTAATTAAAACAATGAGACTTGTTCACTTGTCAATCAATTCCGCAAATGATGCTGGTGAGAGGAGAGTGTCCCAGGCACTCCTGCATATTGTTGGTAAAGGGCATCTTTTAAGAAGACTACAATTCTTCTGGAAAGTAGTTTGGTAAATGTTTTTAAAATGTTTGACCCAGGCCCCATTTGAGAGTCTCCTCTTAAAGAAACAATACAAAGTGAAGAAAATGCTTTATGCTTAAAATGCTAATGACTATACATATAACAGTGAAAAATGTTTGAGAGAAAAAAAATCTCAAGTTAGAAAAACTCCCAATAGGGAAATGTTTCAGTAAATCAAGGTACATGATATAATGCTATGCAGCCATGAAAAATATAATATTTTTACTAGCATGGGGAAAATGCTCTGTCTTTATAGTACCTGAAAAATATAAGCCATGGAAGTCTAAATACAGGTCCTGCTGACCCTTGACATCCACAGAAGGTACTTTATCATATGATTTCTTCCAAAAGTACATTAAGGTATAGCTAAACTTTGTAAGTAATTTTCAGACCCTTCAAAAACTTATTTATAAAAGCACAAAAAACCCTTCTTGAAATGGGAACTCAGGACAGCTGGCTTAGGTCACTTGCCAGTTAAGTGTTTTACTCACAAATCCCAGCTTTGCAGCATGACCTGAGCAATTCAAATTTGTGCCTCAGCAAAATTACAATACATATCATGAACTTTCAGGACTGCTTGGGAGTATTAGATATTACAAATATTAATTCTGTGAATGCTAAGGGGTTATGTTATTACTTAACTCAAAAAGAAAATAAAGAAAAAAAAAGTAAAGAAAGAAAACATCCCAAAATGCTAGCAATACTTATTTGGGGGAGTGGGGGTGGGGCAGGGGGACATGTTAGGAGTGATGTTTCTCCTCATTTTTACTATTTTCTGCACTTCCCAAACTTTCTATGATGGGCATGCATTACTCTTTTGGTAAACAACCTGATAAAATATAAGGCATGTAATATTTTTATAATCATGAAAGTGAAAGTTTACTCATTAAAAAGAATAAAAGGCAAATACCTGTCCTTTGGTCGCATAATCTGCCAAGACATTAAGCAGCTTATAAAATACTTCGAACCAGGGAAGATAGCTGGGGGAAGAAGCGGAAACACACGATTAGTATGCAGATCAAAAACTTTAACCAGGAGCTAATTCAAGACTTCTGCATTGCAGTTTTTCTCTACATCCTGAAGAGTCTTCCTGTCACAGGCTATGCCGGAAACAGAGACTGGTAAAATGCTAATTATTTCTGGGATTTTAAAAAATTGACTGTGTAAGGCAGAGGATTGGATGTCCATTATAAATTATGCCCATGCCTCAGAGCTAGAGCAGGTTTCTAGAGGAGAAATTCAAAGCCAACTCTGCAATCAGGAACCATCTCTGAATAGTCCCCCCAGGCCTCTCCCGCCACACGCACCCTTTCCAAGACAGCTTCTATTCAAGTTTCGCATGAGTGGACACACAGCCACACACATCTATAACCCTTCCATGGCTGCTGTCTGCAAGGTGTCCCGGAGGTTCCATGAGCCTGAAACCACTCATACTGTTATAGTGAATGTTCTACCTGTAATGCACCCTCTCTATACTAATTGCAGGTTAAGCTCTACCTCTCTCCATCCCCACTGCCTTCCACCTGGTCCTGACCATCATGCCCCTTAACTCCAAGGACAGCCTGGTCCTCACCTTACTCTACCCTCTATGTGGCTCTTAGAATGGGCTTCCTGAAACACATATCCAAGCGGCACATTGAACTGAATTCCTGCAGCAGTCAGTGCCCCAATCACTACAGGACTGCTTAGGATGGGGTTTGAGGCTCTTCACTGTCAGGTTCTTGCCTGTCTCCGGCTGTGTTCCACTTCCCCACAGGCATACTCCTCTCAGTGCAGCCTCACTCAGAGAATATTCAGACATCCTCGAGCCTGCCTTAGCTTGCATACACTTGGCCCTTTTCTCCCTCTGAACTTCATGGTCTGATCTGGCTGATGTCTACTCAACCCCTGGCAGTCCTGCACGACTCCTGGCCCAGCCTCTCTGGCCCTAATTCCCTCTTTTCTATGCTGCCCTGGTCACACACATACTCCTGCTCTAACATTCTACACACCATGTGGCACTCAGCGGTGTGTCTGCCTTCCCAACAGACTGTACAAACAGAGAGGAAGTTTCCCATCTTGCTTCCCTTTGTCTTCCCAGGGCCAAGCATGAAGCCCAGTCTACTGTCAAGCTCCACGTTGGCTGAGCAAACACAACCGAGCAAAGACTAGCAGCAAGGGCATAGTAGTGCTACAGGACTGTTGCTGAAGCCTATCCCAACCTCCAGAAGTCTTGTCATCGAATTTAAATGGCTTTGTTCTCCATAAGAAACTTTTCCAAAGCGCCTGTCACATGAGCAGTGTCACACCCAGTGCTTGCTGTCCTGCTGACGTCGGCCCTGCTGCACTAACAGTGTTCGGTACTGATAGAGCTGGATGTGAAGTGGGGCGCTGATGCTGTGCACCTTCATCCTGCCAGGCAGAGGGAAATCACCACCCTGTACAGATTACCAGCTGTACCGCTGAGGGTAATAAATGAAGTGAGAGGCAATAGAGAGGACAGATAAAGTGCACGGTTCTCTATCATTAACGTCTGTCTGAAGCCAGCACATGCTACTGTAAAATTTAAGTAGCTTATCAAAATATACTGATAAGTAACTTAACTTTTCACTTCTATGACAGTATTATCACTGATGTTAATATGTTTCAATCAGCTCTGGCAGCTGCATATTGACTATTACAGAGCAAATGACTGCTGCCACTTCTCACAGCATTTACTTTGGCAGAGCAATGTAAACATTCAAGAGGGATTAGGAAAGAGATAAGTTTCTCCCTTCTTACGCTGTTAAATAAACCTCAACTGAGTTAAAAGCCATTATAGTAGGAACAATAAATCCCCTCAGAAGGAAACTCTTGCCCAGATTAGCAGACTCTTAGTAAACAAATTCAACCAAGGATTACAATTTTTTTTGCCCTGCAAGAAGAAAATACCACTAGTTAAATCTAGCATCTGAAAGTCATGAAGGGGTAAAAAAAAAAAAAAAAAAAGAGGAAGAGAAAATATTTCCTTCCAAGAAAAACACAGCCTAAAGCAAATGAGAGAAAAGCTGAAGTCATGTTAGGATACTTGAAGTGATTCGGTCAGGGTGGATTCTCTGATTATGTAGGACTGTGGTATATAGGGAAGCAGTTTTGGCCACTGGGTTCAACTGGCCAACAGAGTTTGGGCCAGGAACCTCAAGCTCTGAGTCCTCCCCTGCTGTGAGGATGGAGAAAGGTCACGTGTAGGACTGTCTGGCCTATAGCAGGCAGTGCCCAGGTTCTCACACTCAGCCTCAACCTCACCAAATCAATTCTTTTTGGCTACGCTAAGCAAAACCCTCAGCCATGGAAGGTTTTGTAGTTACCCTGGAAATCAGCCATTTCTTTCTCCCTTTGGCCAGACCAGACACAACTGTTTCCCACATGTTGTCCCCTGTGCACTGACAGATGAATATCTAGTGATGGCAGTACTAAGGTCTTGAAACCAAAACCCAGCTGTCTTCTTCTTCAAAGGATCCTTCTTTTCCCCTGTTGGGAGGCCAGGGTTCACAGCTGAACTTTATCCAGTGGCGTTTCCTGTCCTGCTTCATTAGTGCCGGCACAACAGCTTCTGCTGCCTGCCGAGGTTGCAGGTGAAGATATGGAGACCCTCCACTCCATTTTGTGCTTGTCTGTCATCATGGAGTAAACATTACTTCCCAATCCAGAGACAGGAAACAAACACTCCATTATGCTGCACCTCCCTGGACATCTGAAAGAGTTCCAAACATCCCTGCTCCCCTTGCTTCCTTTATGCAACTGCTCAAGCCCTTGATGCAAGCATCAGTGTGCGCTAGGCTCAGTCCAAGGCTGGGGCCAAAAAGAAAATAACAAAGGGTCCCTGCACTCAAGAAGGCCATGGGCCTAGAGGGAAAAAGAGACACATACAACAAAGAGTAATAGCTACCCAGGGGAATCTAGAACTCTTTCCCAAGTGCTTTATTTAGCTTAGGCTTTGGGATCAATGTACAGAATTATAAGAGAGCATTACCATAACCCAGTCAGCACAGGCCCAGTGTGGAAATGTCAAAACGGGAAAAGCCTGCTTCCCAGGCACTGGCCTTGATCCAAGCTTCGCTCACCGAACTGTGGCTCAGGTAACTTTATCCCAGGCTCTGCCCTCACTCCCTGGCCTGAAAGTTAAATGGAGAGGCTTTTGTTCTGTGTGAAGCAATACAAAGTCTTCAACTTAAGAGCCAGACAGCACCCAAGTATTCCTACACACATGGTCTCACTGACATGGGCCATCACATGCCCTTATAAGATGTGGGGGGGAAGGTTCCAGAGATCGTGCATAAAGTCAAACAGCCCATGGTCGAAATCACTTGTAGAAAGCCTTAAATTGCCCCCAACATATAGCAGACATGGTTTGTATAGACACAAAGTAGTTGGCCTGAGTTTGGGCGGGCATATTGAATGAAAACTGTCTATATTCACATCCGTCAGTTTGTGAGCTGCCTACCCTCTAGTTGAACTCAGGAACTGAGTCCAACTGTGGATAGATGACCTGCTTTTCTAATCTCACTCCACTGAATGGACTGTCAGGATAATCATTCTCACTGCTGTGTATGTATGTATGTATAATATATATGAGCAACTCTGATAAATGCTGTGTGTGATGGGACCCCACTCCAGAGACTTAAGTATTAAAATAGAAAATCCAATTTTTAAAAGCTCTCCTACTTCTCTTGCTAACAATTCAGTTCAAGGCTACTCACTTAGCCCAAGCAAGGTAGGGCCATGTGCATATGATGGAGGGCAACAGTGACAAAGGCTGACCAAGCTGAGGTAGGTGACCACCTGGGAGAATAGTAGTTACGAGCAGGATGTGAGAGCTTAAGCATGGAGAGGAGGGTATCTTCCTATAGGGGCAACCTGGCACAGTGTTGGAGCCCAAACTGGGTGGGAAGGGTTCCCTAGTAAGGGCGAGTTAGGGCTCCAGCAGGATAGTGAGGGTGTCCACTGAAGGGGTAGCCTGGTTTAGAGTGTTTGGATGAGAACTCAAGAGTGGTAAGGATGGTGTGTAAGTAGGAGCAAGACCTGACTCCAGGTAAAGAAAACATCTGTAAGAAGAGAAAGGTGACTAGACTTGTGCTGGAACCTAAGAGGAGTAAAAGGAGTATCTGGAAGGCAGTCTGGTGTGGGATGTCAGAGCCCAAGTGGGTAGGAAGGCTTCCATGAAGGGCAGCCAAGCAGAGTCCAAACAATAGAGAAGGTATCTATGGTAGGAGGAGGCAGCAGTGGTAGCCCTACCTAAGATGCCAGAGTCCACACAGGGCGAGGAGGGCAGCCACAGAGGAGGTGGGATACAGCAAAGGGAGATGGGGTACCTACCAGGGAACAGGTTAAGACTGATCAAGCAAGTAAATACATAGTGGGAACCAAAGTTACTACTATCAGAGAAGAGAGTCAGAAATATGGATAGGGAGATAACAAAAAAGAACCTTATGGTGTTGAACTGGAAAAGGAATTAGATGTAACTGTGTGAAATCATGGAGATGATAAAAGAAATAGAAATACAAATGTATATATGTACATTTATATGTGTATGTGTCATACACACATTTATTCTCTACCTCTAGCCACTGAGGGTCCTGGAAGCAGAGGCACATTAATTATGAGCATGCTTAGTGTCCTGATCTTGGTTTCTAAGTACCATTGTCTACTAAAAGGAACCAGGGCTCCTTGAAGAAATATCTGATTCCAGGGCTAAGACTGGGAAATAGATAGTTGTGCTAGAAAAAAAAGGCAGTGCTGAATACATACTCAGGACATACCATCAGGGCACAAAAGCCAGTGTGGAGGGGCTCCTGCTGACAAAATCTGTGACAATTTGAGCATCAAGACAAACAATGATAAAAAGAGACGATATAATAATAAAATAGGAAATCATGATATAAATACACAAGTTGAAAGTTTGATGAGGAGGAATGAGGATATTCATCATATACTTTTTAATTACAAAGAGAAAAAGAATGGA